GCTTTTGGGGTGCTGGCGCCCAGCCACGTTCGTCCAGCTACGTCTGTTCACTTGCATGGGGCCTGAGTCTGCGTTGTGCGCAGGCTGGATAGGAGCCGAGACCTGTGGTTCTCCACCTGGGAGTGCTGGGCTCTCTCCCTTACAGAAAGTTTGCCCAATCTGACCTAGGCGGGGGTCCCTGGGACAAGCGACCCAGGAGGACGCTTCGGTGTCATCTCTTTTACCTCCCTGAGACGGCCGCTAAGGAGCCCTCCGCTGTCACCCCCTGCGCCGGCCAGCACCCCGCTGACATCCTGGCGCTACTTGTCCATCCAGCCCAGCATGGGAGCTGCTCAGAGGTCCTGGGCCAGCTGGGCACCAAGCAGCTCCCTCGCCTTGGCAGGGCAGAGGGGCCCCAGGGCAGAGTTTGCTGCCCCACTGGGGGCCCAGACACAGCTTTCTACTGCCCACTGTTCTGGTTAAGGATGGCCCGTCGTGGGGCTCCTTGCGCCCCCTGGAGGAAATCGAGGGCACACCCCACAGGTTAACTGGTCCCTGGGTCCTCCCTTGATGATGGACAGGCCGGGTCCAGTGATGTCCTCAAAGATCTGAACTTGTATCCATTAGACAGAAAGAGGCATTTCATAATCTTCTAAAAACGTGGGGAAGTGAGGGCAGGAGAGACAAGAGACATAGAAATGAAACCAAGAGGCTTGACATCCTACTGCGAAAACAGAGAAAAGGAGCTTGGGAGTGAAAGGCCTCCCATCTGCAGGCCGAGAGATCCTGGAGCTCCAGGGGGTGAAGAGGAAGAAAACCCACGCTTACACTCACCCCGAGAAGTCTGAGATTCCCACGACCACGAGTTAAAAGAAGATCCTTAACGGAACAGGCGCAAAAATAATAATGATAATGATGAACAGCTACCAGAGGCATTTGTGGAGGTGGAACGGGGACTGGGATCAAAAACGGGGGGGGGGGTGCGGAGGGAAGTGCACCGGACTATGGTGATGGCACACGGGGGATTTGGCGATGGGACCCCAAGGGGTTGCAACTGAGATGGGAAAAGGCACAAAATGATGTAAAAACGAACTATTATATATGTATATATAAAGAAGATCCTACCAGCTGCTGAGCAGCCAACCAGCCCTCAGCGAGAGAACGTGGGGAGCTGGCCAGGCCTCCTCCAGGCGCCCCGCTCCACTGAGGGCGCCTAGACGCTCCCCAGGAGCGACTGCCTTCCCCAGGCTCCCCCTTGAAGGGGGCACCAGGCACCCGGACCCCTCGTCCTTCTGCCTTCACCCCTTCGCTGGGCTGGGGCGGGGCACGCAAGCCTGAGAAGGAAGGCAGGGACCCCGCTTTCAGCGCCCTGCTCCTCTGAAAGTCCTGTCGCCGCCCCATCCTCCGGCGGCCGCGCGCACGCACGTTCAAGGCCGAGAACGCGCCCGCCAGAAGGTCCCGCCAGCCCCTGGCTCTGCGATCTGCCCCCACCCGGGAGCGGGGGCGTTTGGCTTCCTCCTTTTGGACACAGTCTGGTCCGCTCGCTGAGGACCGGCTGCTGCCCTGGCCCCCAGCCCTGGGGGCTGCGGGGGACAGCCGGGTTCAGGCCCAGACTCCGCCTGTGCCTGGGCTGCCGGTTCTCCAGAGCAGCAGCAGATGTGGTGGGGACCCTGGTCTCTGCGCCCTGCTTGGGCTTGATCTGGTGCCATCCTGTGCCTGCCAACCCGCCCTGTGGGGCTTGGCCAAAGGTCAGGCTGGGTCAGGGAGACAGGCCAGGCCAGGGGCTGTTATTCTGATGAATAACTTTTCTGCGCCTCGTCCCACGTGGTTTCACAATACATACTGGACAGAAAGTGAAACCGGGCATGAGATCCGCGTGGGATGGACGGAGGTAGCACCACTGGTCACCTGCGCCGGTTTCCGGCTGTGGGTCCTGCCCTGCCAATCACAGACCCCTCTGTGGAGGGAACCGAGTCCACATGATAGAAACAAAACTGACCACTTTCTCCCCCGGGGTGGCCACATGACCCAGCTGGCCACAGTGACTTTGCAGGGCTGAGCATGGCCAAGCCAGGCCCATGAGAGGCTGTCGGGAGGCACGTGGCCAGCTTTGCTGCGGGGTGGGCGGCGGTGGGGGGTTCTGGGACATCGCTGCCGCTGTGCCCCTGTGCCCCGGGCCGGCCTGAGGGTGCAGCTACTGGAGAAAACAGACAGAGACAGTGGGGAGATGGAAAGGGAGAAAAGGTTGAGCGCGGATCCAGGGAGCCTGAGGCGGGAGGCGCCTGTCATCTGCGCTAATGGGGGCCGTGGTCCCACTTTTGTTGCGACCCCTGTTATTTGCCAGCAAGGCTACCCTCATCTCAAGGCTCCCCCTGTCGCATGGGGGGCAGGCCTGGGGCAGAGGCCCCCCGCCGCTTCCCCGGAGCCACCTTATAGAACAGACCTGGAACCGAGCTGGCGCGGCAGTTGCCGGGCCTGGCCCTGCCCGGGACCCTTAGTAACTGCCTAGTCTGAATTGGCTCCTCCCCGAAGTACTCAGGAGAAAGAAAAAATGAACAATTGGTCTCTCTTTGTTGCATCTCGCAAGCCCTGCTCGCTAAACGTCATCAGAGGCAGGTCAGAAATTCCATGCCAAGTATTGCGTGGGGTGACGTGATGATGGCAGCAGTGGCTTATGTCATAAACCAATCGGATATGCCCCGAATACCTGGGCTCACCTGGCCGAAGGGGCGGGGCGGGCAGCGCCTCGGCGTGACCGACAGACGAGAGCCAGGCCCCCATGGCACGAGCCCGACGCCAGCTCCATTCTCAAGGCTTCCAGCCTCGCGAGTGGAATCTCCTGCTTGTTCAGTGGCGGTTCCTGGGAGACGCAGTCTGATTGCCCCACAACCCGACGCGGCGAGAGCGAGAACACAGAGGATGGTTAGGGTTTTTCCTCCTCCTGAGAGTGAATGTTTCTAGAAACTATTTTTTTCCTAAATCAGCTTCTTTCCAGCCAACCTTGTGCATATTTCACAATCCAATCCTCAATGAAAATAATAAAATAGTATTTGCTGTTTGAAGGTAGTTTGTGTGGTTATCATATGCTTTAAGCACGTGAAAAGAGGTTTACCTCATAAGTCATCCCACAGTAAGATTCCGAGTAGAAAAAAGGGGAAGCACCAGCAATCCCAAGTGCTGACAGGATCTAGGGCAACTCGAACTTCTCATGCATCACTGGAGAAGTGCCGTAGTGGCCCAACATCTTAGAAAACCTGTTCACATTGTCTCCTAAGGGTCCATTCTTACATGTATATTTGCAATGGTTAATTCTGTCCTGATTTGTACAGGGCACAGTGCCCAGGTATTTGGCGAAATACTAGTGCAGCTGTTCTGTCATTTTTTTTTAAGGTTTTTCAGATGAGACTGTGAGTAAAACAATACCCTCCATAGTATAGGTGGGCCTCAACCAGTCAGTTGAAGGCCTTTAAAAAAAATAGTCAGCAAACAGTCTTCAGACTCCAACTGCCAGTTCCGCACACGGGGGTTTTCTGGGCCCCTTGATAGCTGTTTCTTCTCCTGTCCGCCATCTGCGGCATCTGTCCTCCGTGTAATGCCTATAGCTGGCCACGCAGGCATGGGTTATAAATGAGGCCTATGACTAGCAAGCAGCCTCCTGGGCATTGCCTTTTTCTCACGCAGCACAGTTCTCTAGGTCGATCCAGGTGCATCAACAGTTCGCACCCTTTCATCTCAGAGTCACACTCCACGGTGTGGGTTTTCCTCGGTGGTTGAGCCTCCCACCTCTGCAGGATCTGTGTTCTTCCCACTTTGGGGCTATTATGAACAGCCCCTTTGAGCTGGTCCACGCCAGAGGAGACCCCAGGCCACGTCACAGACGGGGGGAAAAGGGGTAAGTGAGCGACTTTAAGTCACTACCTATTGGAGGCGCAGCCTTAAGTCCAGGGGAGCAACAGGGAGTCCTTCCAGGGAGGCAGGGTAGAATCGGTCCTACCTGTAAACATTTCTCTAAAGGCACAGGTGTGTTGTCTTGGCGTGCCGAGCTCAAGACACAGCAGATAGGACATTCACTACCTGTTCTGTTCACTGTGTCTCTTGCCTCTTCGAGGTGACCAGCTGGTGAGTGGAACACGCATGGAGGTGCTGGGGTAACGGGTTACAGTCAGGAGCTCATCGAAGGAAACACCCGTTTGAAGGCGTGTGGGTTCTGGGGCACAGGACTGTGCTTCACTGCCCGACCCAAGGGGGGATTTGCATTAAAGTCTGTCTTCTTTAATGGCAGTAACGGTTTACAATATTGTATATGGTTTGGGGGGCCACGCCTCTCGAACTGTGTCACCACACCATGCACACGCGAGAGCCTGTGGAAGCTGGCCACAGCGGCACCCTGACCGGCACGGAGCTCACCACACCTGAGGGAGAAGTGGCTTCTGGACCCGCGGGGCGGGAACGGCGCTCCGGACTGGGAGGGGAAGACTGACAGAGGGTTTCTGGGTATGTTTTGAAACCATCACAATATTTTCCAGCTGAGGTCACAGAAATGCAGCTCCCAAAATGGGCCCATGTGATCCAACTGGGGGGAGCTGCCTCTTGGAACCAGGGACCAACTCTCTCGCACGCAACACACGCAGGTCATGCGCAGTCACACCCCTCTGCGAGGGCCGCACTTCCTCGGCTGTGACCAGCCTCATGCCCCAAGTACTCCCCTCACTGCCTCATGACCAGAGAGACAGCTGGGTGGGGGCAGCTCCTGGCAGCCAGCCAGCTGTCCAGCCGAGGGAGGAGGGACGCAGGCACCCAGCCTCCCCGGCACCCCGCTGGGGCTGCAGCGGCTGCTGACCGGCTGGGCTCCAGACCTGGGTCCCGCAGGGAGGGCGCCCGGGCACCGGCCGCCCGCCTGGGTTATCAGCCAACACCGCGGTCGCCTTATTTTGGAACAGGAAAAACAGCTGCTTGAAACCCTGGAAACGGTCACTTTCCTAGGGCGTGGCCTGGCCTTAATGTGGAGCCCCATCTTGGCAAGGACAGCACCTCCCCCTGGACCCTCTTGGGCCACGACTGAGAGGCGGGTGCAGTAGATGGGGGGGCAAGCGCTCCCCTTGTCTGTCCTCTCGGGGCGCTGCCCCTCAGAAGGAGGTTCATGAAAATAAGTTCCAGGCACAGCCAGCAAAGCCAGGCCTCAGCCGGCTGGGAGACCTCCTGACCTGGGAAGCCCAGGCGGACGCAACCCGCCTGCCGGGTCCAGGCCTGCCAGCGGGAAGGTTTGGAGCCCAAATATGGTTTTGTTGCCCAAAATTCCTCCCAGATAGACACTTGTTGCTTCTGGGAGCAAACGTCTGGGGGTGAAAGGAGGCTGCTGGCCCTCCGTCCCCTGTGGGCGGGGCGGGTGCCCAGCCTCCACAAGCCAGCTGCCCGCAGGCCGGAGGCTGGACGGGCCTGACCGTCTGCTCCTAAAATTCCTGTGGCTTCTTCAACTTGATTTCAGTCGGTATTTCCCACTTCAAACCTGTGGAGATGGTCACCTCCCCGGCCCTTCTGCCCAGCCCAGCACGTCCTGGCGTCCTGGCGTCCTGGCACGGGGCATGGCAGCAGCCTGGGTGCACGTGCCTGCTCTGGCCTCAGCCCTGTCACGGTGAAGTGGGGGTGGCTGGCCAGGGGCAGGTGCTCTGGCCGCAGTGACAGCTTGCACACAGCCAGCAGGCAGTCAGGACAGGAAACAGCCCGGGGCAGGCCGCTGGCCAAGGCTGCACAGCTAGGGAGGGCCAACCTGAGGGGGCCGGCCCCGGGCCAGGGGGCGCGGCGGACCTGGGTGGGGTGGGGGTGGGGGGTGGGGGAATGAGCCCCAGCCTGAGCCAGGCTGGGCCCTGACAGAGCAGAGGGAAGGGGGCAGTGGCAGGAGTGAGGCAGGGAAGGCTGAGGCCCAGGCTTCTCTGCCCGGATGATGCAGCAGGAGCAAGGCCGAGACCTGAAACCCAAGGCCTGAAATCAAGCGTGGGTTTGAGGTCTGTGGTCTGCGCCCCTCATCCCCCCGTCCCCCAAAGGACGCTGTGTGCACGGATACAGGCCCCTGGGCCCCACAGCCCTTCTAGAGCCACATCAGTGGGGGTGGGGTGGGGTGCAGCTCTGAGCCCACGTCTCACCCCCTCAGCGGGGCCCACACCCTCACCAGCCTCCACATTGGAGGCCGTCCCAGACCACCCTGTTCTGATCGGCTGGAAGCCCCATCTTCCTCTGAGGGCTTCTGCCCCCCATAAAATTTGGGGGCTACCAGCCTTTCTGTACCAGAAAATAAAAAGCAGCCGCTGGAGCCCCTGCCTGCAGCAGAGCTGAGCTGTGCAGGCCAGGCCTGGGCTGGAGAGCCGGCCACGGCGCTGCTGCCACGGGGGCCACGGCGCTGCTGCCACGTGCACCCGCCACGTCCCGCTGGGCCTCACGCCGCACTCGCGCGCAGGCCGCTCCTTGTCTGGCCTTCATCTGCCGTCACCAGCTGAGCTCTCCTTCGTGAGGGTCGAGCGCCCCCACAGGTGTCACCTGAGTCGGCCTGGCTTGGCGAGGCTCAGGCCAGCTGCGTCCCCGCCGCCCGGAGAGGCGCCCGCCGCGCCCGCTGCCATCTGGTCTCCCCTTCTCAGGTGCCCAAGCGGGTCCCTGCGGCTCCCTGGAGGCCTGCTCTCAGCGGCAGGGATGCGCTTCCCTCCACACTCTGAGGGTTGCAGGGCTGCACCTTCGAAGCGCAGCCCATCCCCCTGACGGGGCTTTCAGAAGCGGGACTTCCTTCCTGCCGCCTGGCAGCGCCGGGGCACCCTCGCCATCCATGCCTGCCTGTGGGACAGGCTCTGAGTCTCCGGCTGCCCGCCCGCCCCACCTGGCCAGGGCCAGGAGCTGGACGCCCACAGGACAAGGGACGCCCGGGCACTGGGGAGGCTCACAGGCCTCGGCCTCCCACTCCGGGGCAGAGTAAGCCCCAGGACAGCGGCACCCCGCGGCAGTCTCTCTCCCCAGGGCAAGGGAGCTGCGGGCTCTCCCCACTTGCTCGGGGACCAGCAGGCCTGCAGCCTCCCCTCCCTCCGCAGAAGCCCAAACTGCCATCCAGGCCTGCGCAGGAGACCTCCCGCTGAGGCCTCTGCTGGAAGCCTGGGGGGGGGACAGAGGCCCTAAGGCAGCCAGGCCTCCAGCGCGGGAACACGGCCCAGGGACGCCATCTTGGCCCAGAGAACCTGGAAGTCCAAGCCCTTTTCCTGGCCTCAGTTTCCCTAGCTGCAAAGTGAGGCAGATAAGCTACATGATGCCGGAGGTCTCCTGAGCACTCACAAGCCGGCACTCCTGAAGTCTTCTTCTGTGTCATCTCTCCTGCTACAGGGCCTCCACAGCGCCCTGCCTGCCCCCAGGAGCTGCCACCCCGGCTCCAGCCCTCTGGCTGTCTCCTCTGGCCCCATGTCCCCTCCCACCAGCCACCCTGCGGGAGACCCCAGACCTGGGCTTGGGCTCCAGGGGCCTCTCAATGCAGCGTGGGGCAGACAGGGAGGTGGAAGAGGGATTTGGTTGTGGGAGGGAGAGAGACAGGAAGGAGATGGGACAAAGAGGAGGAAGACTGGGAGGGAGAGGGAGGGGGAGGGGAGAAGGAGGGGGAGGGAGAGGGACAGAGAGGAGAAGGGGAGGGGCAGGGTCTACAGAGGGCGGCACCCCACAGAGGTGTGTTGGGGCTCTTGTTCTGACAGGTGGAGGTGAGGAGGCAGTCAGCTCCCCTGGGTGCAGGGCGTGCAAGTAGCTGAATCTGGCCCCGGACCACAGGAAGCGGCGGGGGCGGGGTGAGGGGGTTTGGGGGGTGCCTCCAGGACCCCAAGGCAGAGCTGCGGGGAGTCCCAGGGCACCTGGGCGTGGGGGGGGGCACTGAGGCGTGGGCGGGGAGAGCTTTTGCTGGGCAGCAGCATAGGACCATCTGGAGGGAGAGAAGCCCTGAGGCTGGAAGGGCAAAGGGACAGGGCCAGGGAATGTTCTGGAGAGGGGAGTTCCCGGAGGGAAGCTGGCAGGCTCAGCAGGCTGTGGACTTTGCTCAGAGGCCTGGGCTGGCCGTGATAGCGGCTCTCATAACCGGGGGCCTGCGGGAGGGCCGAGCCTGCGGGAGGCCGCAGCCTCCTCTGTGGGGCTGGCAGCGCGGGTTGGGCAGGAGGGGGCTGGCTCCCGGGGCCCCAGGCAGAGGGAGGCCACCCAGACTCAGGGGTCAGCTGGGAGAGGTAATAAGGGAACACAGGACTCTGGGTGCCGGGTCCGCCACCTGGAGGCAGAGACGGTACCGCCTCCCTCTCTCTCGGGTGGGAGATGGTTTCCCGGTGGCTGTCACCAGAAGCTTCCCTGTGAGGTCCACCCCTCCAGAAGGAAGTCCTCCAGGGCATACCCTTGAGGCCTGGAGGCTGGCCTCCTCCCTGCTCGCTGAGGGCCTCCAGGGCCTGACCCTCAGGCCGCCTGGGGAGGGCGGAGGGTCCCCTGTGCCCCACCCCCCAGGCGCTCCGTGGCCACAACGTTTTCCCTCTCGTGTTTATTGGTTCCCAAGGGCAGCCCCTTGCCCAGGGGAGCCCAGCGGGCTCAGATCTTGCGGCTTCCAAAAATAGGGCGGTTCACGTGCTCGGGGGAGTCCAGGAAGGCCTTGAGCTGGGGCCGGGCGCTGAGGCGGGCCACGTAGGCTGAGAGCAGGGGGAGCCCGTCCAGGCAGCCGGGGGCCAGGGCCTGGTGATTCATCAGCAAGTCCAGCAGATTGTAGTCGGCGAAGGAGATCTGTAGCAGGGGTGGGGGCGGGAGAGGCCCGTCAGGAGAGAGGGCCTGTGGGGTCTGCACGGCTGAGGCAGAGGTTTGTTCTGAGAAATGGCGCTGCCGTGGGCCGGGCTGGGCACGCACCTGGTCGCCCACGATGAAGGCCTGGCCCCCCCGGTTCTGGGCCAGCAGGGTCTCAAAGGGCTGCAGGTGTCCCGGCAAGTCCTGGATGTACTGGGCCTTGCCCTCCTCCTGTGAGCGGGAGGGGCCCAGTGGGTGGCCAGCGCCCGCCCCGCCCCGCCCAGGCGCCGGACACGCACGTAGTTGTGGTGGATGAGATGGCTGCAGCGCCGGCGAAGGTCCTCCACGCCGTCGTTGGCCATGTCCACCTGGGCTGCCTCCCGCGCGTCTCTGCCGTAGAGCCCTGCTCGGAGGCGGGGGTCAGGCACCTCTCGTCCGAGGCCCCCACTCCACAAGCCCGAGGGGATACACCCGCCTGAAGCCCACCGCTGCTCCCTAGGTGACGCTCCCAGTCCCCGGGACTCAGACATTCCCTGCCCGCGTGCTCCCCAGTCCCTTCCCCCAGGCCTGTCCCCCTGAAAGTCTGGGCCAAACCCTGTCTCTCTAGGCGCAGGGGGTGGCTGTCTGTGCGTGCAGGGGTGACCATACTCTGCGCAGAGCCGTGATGAGGGGCAGGGCGAGGGCAGCCGGCCACGGAAGGACAGGCCCAGGCCTGGCTGCACCGGCTCCCCCGGCTGCTTCTCCTGCCGGGGCCTGGGAGTCTGTCGCCCCTCCATGCTGATGGAGGAAGAGCGGCCGCCCGCCTAAGCCAAGGTCCTGCAGCCCTGAACCAAGGCACAGGCCTGCCCACAGGAAGCATGAATTTCCCAGATTCAGAAGAGCCCGGAGCGGGAAGAAATAGCAGGGCGTCTCTGTGAAGCCCCGGCTCAGCAGACAGGCCTCCAGCCCACAGCAGGCCGGCCGCCCCTCCAGGCCGCGAGGTGGCGGGTGCCACTCTCTGGCAGTGTGGGGCACGCCTGCGGGGGAGTGAGGGCCCTGCCCGGACACCCCTGCCCCAGCCCCACACCCTTCCTGCGTCCTCTCCAGGGCATCCGGCCTGCAGCCTGGCAGGATCCGCGGGCCGCGGTGTAGCAGCTCAGGCCCGGGACACCGACAGGCCCGGCCGCCCGCCTGGCACTCACCCAGGGTGCGGCCGAGGTGCCGCAGGATGGCATTGGACTGGTACAGGGTGAGGTCTCCGTCCTGGAACTTGGGGAGCTGCCCGTACAGCTGGGGGCAGCACAGGCCCGTGAGGGGTGCTGAGTCCGCTGCCCTCACCCTACTTCACCCACAGGCCCAGCACCTGCCCCTGCCCCAGAGCGGCCACTCACACAGGAGGCCTTGAGAGGGCCCTGGCGCCAGGTGTCCAGGGTCACCACCTCCTCCTTCCAGGTCTGGCCCTGGTCAGCCAGCAGCATGCGCGTGGCCTCGCAGCGCCCTGAGGGGAGACAGGGTGTGGGGGCCGGCGGACCCCAGCCTCACAGAAAACCCGACTACAGAGCATCTAGGGTGAGGATGGGCAGAGAAGAGGGGAGGCCATGACCCCAACAATGTCTGGCCAGGCACCCCAGTCGCCCCAGATGGGGCCGCCAGGACGCAGTCCCCAGAGAGGGTGTCCTGGCCCCGCATTCCCAGGCTTGGGCGCCACCCCCTCACCCCCACCCCGCGATCCCCGCGCCTGAGCCCCAGCCGGCACTGGCAGCTTAACCCGCGCCCCTGCCCTTTGCCTCTGGCGCCCTGGCGGGCATGAGGGCTGCAGCCTGAGCTCCGAGCGGAGCGCCGCTCAGCTCGCGCCCGCCCTCCTGAAGGCGCAGGAGCCGCACCTCGGGCGGGGAAGTACACGATGGTGTAGGGCGGCACTAGGAGAGACAGACAGACAGACGGGCAGGCAGGCTGCAGGGGGTCGCAGGCTGCGCCCGGGCGAGGCTGGCCCAGGCCGGGCGAGGGGTGGCGGCTGGCCCGCGCCCACCCGGCCCAGACCCACTCACTGGAGCGCGGCGAAGCGGAGCGCGGCAGGAAGTGCGGCGAGCCCGGCTGACAGGCAGCGCGCCCCGCCCCAGCCCGCGCCCTCCGCCAGGCCAGTCCCGGGTGAGGCCGAGGAGGCCGAGAGAGCCGCTGGGGAGCGCCGCAGAGGGGCCGGGCTGGGCTGGACCTCCGCGCCGTCCGCGGCCGCCCGCGGGGCGGGGCACGTGCGCGCCCCGGGGCTCTCTGGAGTCCAGTCCGGTCCGGGCGGCCCTGCCTGGAGAAAGGCGAGAAAGGCCAGAAAGGCTTGTTAGCCCTGGCCTGCGCCGGCCGCCTGGGGGGGGGGCTGCTCGCAGGATGTCAGTCCCTGGCGCTGACAGCTTGGAAGTTGCTATTCTGGAAGTGTCCGTTTCCAAACGCTGCTTTGGGGTTTTTCTGGCTTGGGGAGGGGGTTACAGAGCATCTTTGCAGGACACAGTCGTTTCACAGCTCCAGGTCGGTGTGCACCCTTCTGGGACCGGGGCAAGGGCACCCACTTAACTGTCAGCTTCGGGTAACTCGACCTGCAGGCAGCGGCTTTGCGAGTTGCCCACAGTTCCCGGCCCCGCCCGCCACCCCGAGTGTCACACACAGCTCCCCCGAGGGCCAGACCCGACCCCCTGCACCCACAGGGGCTCAGCAAGCGCTTGCTGCACCAGCGATGTGGTTTGAGCAGACACGCCAGTTACACGTACCTCTGCAGGATGGGGGCCAGGGCAGGCCTGAGCGCTTCACACTCGCCGCTGCCCCGGGCTTGGCCTGATGCCGTCTTTAGGGGTTCGGGGTCCCCGGGTTCACTCTGGGAAAGGCTTCCCCTGAGCCCATGCAGCGGCATGCAGCGGGGAGATTCTCCACGAGGCAGAGACTCAGTTACGTTTAAAGAGGAAGTTTATTAGAAAGAGACGGGAGAGGAAAAGGCACATGCGTAGGCACCAGCGGGCAGGAGGAGCTGCGGGGGGGGGGGGACGGGTTTGCAGGGGGAGACCTGCGTGGCTGCAGGCCGGGGGCCTAGGAGAGTGGCCTCCGCTGGGGGAGGGCAGAGGGGAGGAGCCCCGGCAGGGGCAGGTCACGGGCAGGTGGGCAGCTGCTGCCCTGCAGAGGTGGGGGGGGTATGAAGCCCCCGCATGGGCACAGCTGGGCAGAGGCCCGCTGCCCCGTAGCTGCTCCCTGGGAGGGCGGGCGCCTCCTGAGCCTGGGTCTGTTGACTTTGAAGAGAGTCTGAGAGGTGGGAGATTCCTGATGAGCTTCCATTCCCTGTCCTTATCTTCACCTTTTGGGTTGAGCACAGCCCTCAGTCTCACTGCTGGGCCCCTGAGGACACCGGGCACCGCTCCCGCACAGGACCTCGATTTCACGGCGTGTCAGTTGCTGCACTGGCCCCTTCTCCCCGTCCCCTTGTGTGACTCAGTCTTGTGACGCCTCCCTGCGTTCCTGCCTCCATCAGCCCCCCTGAGCCCCGTTTCACAAAGCAGGAAACTGAAGCACAGAGGTTGAGGGACTTCCCCAAGTCACACACCGGGCCGGGACTTAAACCCAGGGCAGGGCGGGCCTCGAGTTTCCTCCTCATCCTCCCTCCTCAAGGTGTTACAGCTTGCAAATGCTTCGGGACTGAGTCTGGGGGCTTGGCACACCCCAGGCCCCGGCTGGGTCTGGGGTTGTGAGGGGAAGACAAGCCGGAAGGTGCCGGCCCTCCCCGCTGGCCCACTCCCCGGGGCTCGGGCGTGCTGCGGGCTTCCTCCGGAGCTGGGGCTCGCCTAAGCTGGAGGTCTCAGCGGGGCTTCTGGTCCCCTTCCTGGTGCAGACCCACCTGCCCCCGCGGAGAGCCCAGCACTGGGCAGATCAGAATCATCCCCACGGGGGTCCGTGGTGGGGGCTGGTGGTGGGGAAGGCGGGGGCGCGGCTGGGGGAGCGTCTGAGCTGCATTTAGCAGCTTAGGAAGGGCTTGCCCGTGAAGCAGCACCCCAGCACCCCGAGGGAGGAGTCCGCCCCAGAGCACAGACAGGACACCAGGCCTCCCGCCAGCTCGCCAGCTTGCCCTCGCTCCCGGGGCGTGCAGATCCCAGGCCGGCGCGGCGCTGGGGTGTTTCGGGCTGCTCTGTCCTCGACCTCTGGATCCACAGGTCGGGCCTGGGGTGCAGGCGTGTGGCCACCCTGGGGCCCCTGCCCTCCCCCAGGAACACCCCCAGCCCAGCCCACCTCTTTGTCAGTCCCCTCCTGTGGCAGGTTTCCATACATGGAGACAGCTTTAATGCTACAAGAATTCACCCTGACAGAGTGCCCATCCGTGGCTTGTAGCACAATTTGGGTACTAAGCCTCCCCCACTGTCTAATTCCAGAACACTTTCATCACCCCAGGAGACGGCTCCTGCGCCCCGCCCCCACCGGCGAGCCCCACCCACCCATCCAGCCCTGCCTGTTAGCCCAACGCCGCCAACCCAACCGCCCCATCCAGCGCCAGCTAGCAGCCCCCACAGCAGCTCCCTGCCGTTACCCGCCTGTCAACTGCCACCACTGCCCAGCCACGCTCCACCCGCCAGTTCCCTCACCTTCCACCCACCGCCCGCCCACCCGCTCATTCAACCACGCCTCTAGGCGGCCACCCGCCTGCCCAGCCAACTTGCCGCTGCCTGTCCGCCTACCCACCCGTCCTTCCTTCCCCCGTCTACCACATCGCCGCCCACCCTCCGCCCACCCCTCAGTCCCCCACGGGCCCGCCTGGACATCCCGGGCCTGGGCTGGGACCCCAACGTGGCTCACGCGAGCTGGGCAAGTTGAAGGCACCGAGATCCGCTGGGTGCTGACAGGCGAGCGTGGCCGGGAGGACTCTCCCAGCCGGGCTCTCCCCACCTAGACACTCTCTCCCACGGGGAGCAGCCCCACGGGGCTGCTCGGCCCTGCCCGGCGGGTGGGCCTCGTCCGACGTGCTGCCTGCCATTCACTGCGAGCGGCGTCACCGTGTTTTGAGGCTTCTCTATGATCGGGAAACGCGAGGTCCTCTGTCATTTGATTTCCACAAAGGCACCTCGCGCTGGGGACGGGGCCCACCCCTGTGACCCAGACAAGGACACTGAGGCTGGGAGAGGTGGCATATCCTGCCCGGGCACCCGGGCACACGGCAGGGCAGGGCAGTGTCGGGAAACCCAGCCCCCGGCCTTCCCGCGGCCTCGCTGAGAAGTCCCGTCCGAAGGGGAGTGTCGTGGGGGCCGTGCCGCCGGCCGGAGACCACCGATGGGGCAGAGGGCTGAGGGACGCCGAAAGCTGAGCCACGATGGTCGAGGTCACCAGCCACAAAGCGCCCGACCACCTGGCCCGTGTCCCCTGGCCTCGGCCCGCCTCTCAGGGCCGCGTGGCGGCTGCTCACTCGCTCCCCGGCGTCGGGGCAGCCGGGTGCTGACTCAGTCACTCCTCAGCCCTGTCCGGCAAGGTCCCCATTCTCCTCCCCTCCCATGGCCTCTTGGGCTCTTCCCTGCTGACCCTTCCATGGTCACGCTAGGGCTGCTGGCCGGGCCTCTCCTACCAGGTGGCACATTCCCGGAGGCCAGGACTGGCTCCCAGGGCCCAGGGGGGCGCACAGCAGTGGTCGGCAGACACCTGACCGCGCCCCACCCTCTCCAGAGGCCTCCATCCACCGTAGCCAGCAGACGAATGTGGGCACTGAGTCCCTGCTGCTGGGCAGGCCCAGGGCCCGGCGCCGTGACGCACAGAGGCCAGGCCCCGCAGCCCTCCGCAAAGCCTCCCCGATTTCCTGCCATGCCCCGAGCCCTTGGAGAAAGCCAACCTCTTGGGAGCTGGCCGGCCTGGGGGGCAGGCCCTCGGGGCAGGCCGCCTGGCCCCACCCCTTGCCGACCTGGGCTGGCCCCCCCTGAGGGGACGCTGCGCCGAGAGGCTGGCCGCCAGCTCAGGTGGCACGAGTCCGCTGGGGTCTGGTTCCCTCGGACAGCGTCTGCTGGGGGAGGGCTGGGTGAATAAATCATGAGGGGCCTGGAGCGGAGCCGGGCGGGACGGCTGACCTCATTCGGGGAGGTGAGGAGCAGGTGGCCTGGCGGTAAGTGGCCGAGGGCATAAGACGGGCCACGGGGCGCCGGAGCCTCCCGCCCACCTCGCCTTCCCCTGAGAAGTGGGGGTGGGGGGGAGGCCCCAGAGCCAAGACGGGGTGCTGGCAGGAGGTGAGGAGGGCACAGGCCCCCGGCTCCGGCGGGGCGGGCAGGGAGGTGCCCCTGGAGGAAGGGCAGTGGGGAGAAAAGGAAGAGGACGGTGGACAGAGGCCTGAGAAAGCCCGAGGGGCGCAGAGGGGCCCAGAGGGAGAGGCGGGCAGAGCAGAGCAGAGCCCACCTGCGGGCGGGCACAGGCGACAGGGCGGGGCAGGCAGGTGCGGAGCCGGCAGGCAGGCAGGCGGGGACGGGAAGGGCCTGCGGGGCCCAGCAAGGTCTGGCCAGTGCGGCCTGGCGGGTGGGGGAGGCCAGGCCGAGGGGCGGCTGGCGTGCTCCAGGGGAGCGCACCCCCAGCCACCCACCACGCCCCCCTCCCGCAGGACCAGGGCTGCCGAGGGCCACCGTGTCCCTCAGCCAGCAGGAGGTGCCAAGCCCTTGTTTTTCCATGGCCCACCCCCAGGGCCCGGCGGACGACAGCCAACCCATGGGGGACCTCAGCCCCTGTGAGGGCACCCCAGGACCCAGCCGGGCCCCCGCCAGCCCGGCAGCCGCCAGACGGGCACTGCTTCGGGAGCTCGAAGCCGAGGTGCAGGCGGCCTATGGGCAGGTAAAGGGGGCAGGGCGTGGGGCGCCCCACACCCTAACTGGGGTCCCCGCAGGGCAGACACAGAGCCGAGCCCAGGAGGGGGCTGAAGGTGCAGGTGGCTGGGCACCCCGGAAGGGGCTGGGCGCCTCCCAGCCGCGCAGGGCCGCAGCGCCTGGCCGAGGCACGGGCCGGAGCGGCCCAGGCGGGCTCCAGGCGGGTGGGCGGCAGGCGCTCCCTGCGTTCCTGGGCTCCCGCGGCCGTGGGGGCAGCGGCGCCCTGCAGCTTCCTACCACCGGCCTCACCTGCCCCCCACCGCAGCCCGATGGGCACCTGGATTCCTCCTCCTGGGCCTCAGAAGATTGGAAGCAACTGGGGTGCGGGGGTACAGGCACTGGAGAGGGTGTCTGGGAAACCTCAGGAGCGGGCGTGGGGAGGCTGTGCCTTCGGGGGCCCCCATCAGCAGAGATGCTGGGAGATAACCCCGGATTAGGACCCACGCCCTGCCCAGGCCCCCCCGCCCCACCCACCCGCCTCCGACTTGCCCATGAAAGCCCAGGAAAACCCCGAGTGCTCCCAGACTCTGGGAGCTGCGAGGGGCTCCCACAGCTCGCGCTGAGGCCCGTTCTGGCGGCCCCAGAGCCCTGGACCTGCCATGCCCAGGGGTGCGTGGGCAGCTGTACTAGCACCCCGACCCCAGGGGTTCAGGGTAGGAGGGCTGACGGGCAGGCGTCGCTGGACGGGGAGGGGTGGGGGCACAGGTGGGGGTTTTCCCTGGAAGCCCCAGGCTCTTACCCACCCTGTCATGGCTGCCCAGACCCAGGGTCCCCCCGCCAAGCTCAGTCCCGCAGCCGCCTCCCGACGGCCTGTCCTGCAGCTCTCCGGTCTCCAGGAGCCCGCCTAGACCCGGCCGCGGGCCGGAAGGCCAGGGCCCTGCGCCTCTAGCTCTCAGAGCCCCTTGCCTTTTCTGGGCTTGGGTGGGCGCTCCGGCCAGAGTGTCGATGGGTGAGGGGCCCCCGTCCTGCATCCCTTCCAAAGACAGGAGAGGCGGGTAAGTGGCGGCTGCCACCCCCCCGGATACCCCCCCACCCCCCGCTCAGGGCCGGCTCTGCTTCAGGCTGGCTGCCCCCCTGGGAACTCCTGCTACACCCCTGGCCCCAAGGAGCAGGGGGCCCCCAGGCCAGGCATCCAGGCCTACTCAGTGCTCGACAGCCTGCTGGGGCCGCCTGCTTCGTCCTGGGGCCCAGCATCGCCGCCTCGTCCCACCCCCACCCCGTGTGGCCCCCGCGAGTGGGGGGAACAGAGGCACACACATGCAGGGGCCCGAGGCAGAGAAGGCGGGAGAAGCAGACAAGGACTCAAATGGGGGGAGACAGGAAAGAAAAGAGGGGCAGAGAAATGTCAGCGGCAGCCACCGAGGCGGGCCCCAGGCGGACAGATCACAAGGTACTGGGCGCCCCAGGGCCACGCCTGGCAAAGGGTGTAGTGTCTGGGACACGAAGTGGGGCGGGGAAGCCCCGCTGGCTGGGCAGGTGGCCAGGAGGGGCTGCAAGGCCCAGGCTGGCCAGCAGGATGGGGAAGACTCGGGTCTCAGCAGCGCCACAGACAGCCCACACATTTGGGGCTGTGGGGAGTCCCCAGAACAAGGCCCAGGGAGTCCCTAACCCCTTGTGCCCTCTCAGGACCGGGAGCTGCGGCCAGAGGAGATCGAAGGTAAAGGGGGGCAGGAGTGGTGGTCTGGGGGAGGGCTGGGGGGGCACACGGCAGGGCAGGCGGGGGCTGGGGAGCATCAGGTGGGGGCCTCAGCGTCTCCAGAGGCCACAGGGCGCCTGCCAGGGGAGGTCAGGGCTCG